TTATTATATATATATATATATATATTCAATATTGAATTTGTGCGTAGTGAACTAGAGTGCTCAACACCAATAAATCAGTAGAGCAAATAAAAAGACATAAACAACAAATTTCAATCTTAAAATTTTATTTCATCGCTACACAGTGATGATCGTACGCTGTACGTGAAACACTGTGTAGCGATGAAATAAAATTTTAAGATTGAAATTTGTTGTTTATGTCTTTTTATATATATATATATATATATATATATATATGTAACAAACAGAACGGCTACGTTTGAAGAAGTTTATTAAAAAATACCTTTTTTTAATAAACTTCTTCAAACGTAGCCGTTCTGTTTGTTACATATGAAGTCTTGTCGGCTGAGCAGAGTACTGGCATTTGTCACATATATATATATATATATATATATATATATATATATATATATATATATATATATATATATATATATATATATATATATATATATATATATATATATATATATATTGTTATTAATTAGGTCAAGTTGATTAGTCGCATGCTTACATATTAGATATACTCATTTTTTTATATGCATAATTAAAATTTACATGGTCTTGGAGAGAAATATACAGAAGAATCAGGAGATACCTACCAAAACAAATGAGTTGCATTAACTTCAAGAACGTCCATTAGGAATACCAGGACAAAACCAGGACGGTGTCTAAAAATTAGAATGTCACATACGTATTAAGGGGTTTTCCCATTTTTTATTGCCCGAAGTGGAAGTTACTCATTACGTCACACATGCGTTGGTCACGTGAAATCGCAATTCCTGTCAAACCTGTTAATAGTTCGACGGCATGGTCATTGGTCAGTTTAATTAATAAACCGAAAGATAAAAAGTGTTTTTCTACTTTTTAACACGTTTTTTCATCCGTTTTTGGCATTGGAAGGCTCTGTTTTCTGGTAAGAAGTTCTTTTTAAAGTAATAAAAGACACATTTTGTAGTAGAACATGTTGAATTTCAACATTTTATGTGAAAAAAACAAAACTTTTCGACTTTGAATTTGATGACCTGTTGTCTGTTTTCGATAACTATCTGTAGTACTGAAAACGTTTGATTATTTTGTATAAGCCTTTTTCTTGTTTCTTTTTTGCAGGTCTCGCACCAAGATTCAAAATTCATTATAAAGGGATATGATTCAGGATAGTTTGACTGGTTTTCCGCGGCTATTGAATGGTGTTTGTGGAATATTTATATGCACATTTGCAGCAATATTGTGGAGTTTAATAATCGTGGATTGCTCAATGAATCTACATAGAAACAAATCTATAACCACGGGAATTCATGATGATTTTCATGTTATGCCGGTGAGTTTTGAACTGTGTTGGCCTATACGACTTTGTGTAGTTTTTATACTGCGAGCTGACCTTCGACGTACGCTCATATTATGACGTAAGCTATTAAGTCTTGTTTTGGCCCGTAGACAGCAAAAAAACATGCTTTGCTTTCCTGTTTTGCCATTTTAATATAGCCAGTCAGGCCATTTAATTTAAATGGCCTGACTAATTTTATATGCAACACTTTATTTTAAAACTTGCTTTTGTCAAGAACTTTTAGGCCTAAACGTTGTTTTTATTGAATGCATGCACGAAATATATGCAACTTTACGCAGTGTTTTATATTTGCAAATAGCGATTTTTTATATTCCTGTTTTTATAAACAATGCATACTGTATCTTGTAAAAGTTTTTAAAATATTCTTTAATACTATATAAATAACCAAAGCGAGAGCTTACCGTATAAATAAAGCTTTTTGAGCACAATGAACTACATATCGCTTCTTCTGTAAACTTGACACAAGGATTTATTCTTGTTTTTCAATAAAAAATAAAAACAAATATAAAGCTTCACGTCGTGAAATAGTTTTTCGATAGGTAAAAGGAAAAAAATCACTTTAATATAAAGCTAAACAAATAGTATTCTAATCTTACTTACCTTTTAAATTACGTTTGAAATGTAATGAAGGAAAAACTTGCAAAATACGGAAAAAATAAACACAGCGTACGTCGTATTTTTGCAATTCTGTATTTTTGCTTTGAGATGAATAATTTGCAAAAATACTCAAAAACCAATGTCTTGCCCCCCCGGTTTCTCCTTTTTACAAGACGAAATGACATCATTTTTGCTAAACTTTTAGCCAATAGGGGAAGATTTAAAATTCAAAACGATGACGAATTGGCTGGATGAGTGACCCCTGGATGGGTTTTGAAAAAAAAGCCCCAAAACCCCCAAAAAGCCCCAAAACTCTCGCTTTTTTCACATGCTTCGGAAAGGATTTAAAACGGGAAAATTTGTAAGAATGTAGTAAAATTATCCGTGTTTAATATGCTGTAGTTTTTGTTTTATTATTGGTATTTGTTTACGAGATATTTGTGGGTTTTTAAAGTGCTTGCGTTAACGGCCGATGATTTGTTTATATTTTGTTCGCCGAGTTGCCTACCTTGAGAATATATTAAACTGATACGACTACACAAACGTCACGCGAGATTGACCGACTATCGCGCGACAAATTATCAATTCCGCCAGCTATGAAAGGTATATTAGGCATAAAATTGATTTATTTAAGGTAAAAAAACATGGAATTTTGGGCTGCCTATGATCTCATTGGCTGTCATTTACGACGTTTTAAAACCGTAAAAAATGACAGCCAATACACCGATTCGAAAAAGAGCTGTCAAAGTCTGGAGGACTGTGGCGAGTTACACGAAAACGAGGCTAGTCAGGTTAATTTTTCGCGCGAAAACTTTGAAATTGTTTATATTTTTTAAATAACATGGCCTCATCAGGTTTTGATAACTTTGACGTAGAATTAACCGAAGAGGATATTCCCGGTGCTTCCTTAGCTGGAAGAATACCTTCTAAGCTAAAGATGGACGAGCTTCGTTTTTGGTTAAAATGTCGTGGTGATTCGTGCAAAGGCCTTAAAACGAAGGCACAATTCGTAAAACGGTAAGCTTAAAAAATTCTACATGTGTCAATATGGACTCGATTTTGCGCTGTGTTGATATTATGTTTTCGTTTTTCATTGAAGGGTTGACGAGTATGTAAAATCAGGCCGCGACAAGAGCATCGTTGACCCTGACGAAAACAAGATATTTTCGAAAAGAAAAGCGAGAAAACAAACTTCCCAAGAAATCGAACCGGATACTAACGAATTGGAAAACACATTAAATACAAGTCGAGTTATCTACCCGACAAACAGTTGGTCGACTTCTCTGAGTCGTATGCCTTTATTTACTCGTGCAGAGATGAACTTGCATATCTCAAAATCTGGCAAGTCCTTCTATCCACATAGCAAAAATCATACAGTTCCAACATGTATGAGAAGAGCCAAAACATTTCTAGATGATGAATACCTAAAAGACGTGTTAGCCAACAGCGACGAGAAACACTTTTATTGTAAATGTCTGTGCTATCACAGCTTCAAAAAGAATGAACCACCGCACAAGTTGAAGGTTGCTTTGGACATTGTATCTGCAGAGGTCAAAAATGCTCAATGTTCCTGTGTTGCAGGAAAGATTGGTTTCTGTATTGTTTTCCCCCTGAGGGGGGGGGGGTGCGGGCGACCCAGGGGACTTTGACCACACTATGAAGCACCAGGGAGGGGAATTTGACCTATGCATCAACTCCCAGAGTCGGGAAATTTTGACATCCGCCATCTTGAAAATTTGCGCGGTTTTGACATTAAAGGCCTGGTAACAAGTATGGCGGAGAACCACGATCAAGTTTCGTCGATAAAGGTATTTTATACACAGTGTCTCAATTTTTACCAAGTTTAAACCAGTATAGACTGTATGTTCGCATTGGAAAACATATGTGTGCCTTGTTATCTTAGGAAATATAGTGGGGAATTTTGACAGCCGTTCCTTGCCCAACAGTGGGGATTTTGACGACAAAATTTTAAAAATGTCAAAATTCCCCTGGGTTGCCCGCACCCCCCCCCCCTCAGGGGGAAAACATTGATAGGTGCATAATCATGTGTTGGCTTTAATGTTGAAAATATGCAAGTTTAGCCTTTATGATTGTAAAGATGTTTCTGAATTAAATAAAGACGATGACATGCTACCCACAGAAGCTTGCACGTCTAGTTTACAGACGTGGCACAGAAAGGGTAGAGGAGATTCTATACAGCCGCAACCAGTTATGGAAGTTAATGTAAAGAAAACGAAGCTTGATTATAACACTTCGAATTCCTCTGGTAGTCAATCTCTACGTAAAAAATCAGGCGTCCAGTGTAACTTGTTCGAAGCTCGGGCAAACTTGAGGACCCAGAAAAAAGATGAATTAAATTTACAGCAAAATCTTGAACGATTACACCCTTCGACGGCTTTAGCACAAATCATGAATGATGCTGATCATGCTGGTGATCAAGATGACTATGTGGAAACATTGTATGGTAAGAGTCCGGGAGGGTCTTATGCAAGCTATCAACTTTCCTTAACAGAGTCTAATTTCAATGTTTTCTGTGACATAAATTCTGTCTCAAGAAAAACTCTACATGATAAGGAAAACATTGACACAACCTTATATCCAATCTTTCCAATTACTGATATACCTGATTTTAAATGCCCAAACAGTTGCAGTCAATCTGAAAAGAAGTTTATCGAACAATTATGTGTTACTGAGGGCAAGCTGAATGATATTGAAAAGAAAACAAGGGCTCAAGCCCAGTCTGCAGAATGGAAATGTGAAAGAAAGTACAGGTTAACTGCCTCAAACTTTGGACTTATCACTAAAAGGAAAAGAAATCATGATTCTCTTGCAAATAACTTGCTCAATCCAAAGCCCTTTAATTCAAAGTACACAGCCCATGGCAACAAGTATGAGTCAACTGCATTGCAACAATACCAGAAATATATGCATGCAATTGGAAAACCTGTAGTGTTATTCAAATCAGGGTTTGTTGTATGCAAAGATGCACCTTTCCTTGGAGCTTCTCCAGATGGGAAAGTTATTGATGCAGGATGCAGTGAACCCTATGGTCTTGTCGAGGTAAAATGCCCTGAGACAAAATACAGGGTAACTCCTTTAGATGCCTGTTCAGATCCAAAGTTTTGTTCACATGAAGTTGCTGGAATACCACAACTCAAGCATGACCATGATTACTATGCTCAGATACAAGGTCAACTAGGAGTGACACAAGCAAAGTGGTGTGATTTTGTTATATATACTGACAAGGGACTCAGCATCGAGAGAATTAAATATGATCACCAGTACTGGATAAATATGAGAAATATGTTGCAGTCATATTACTTTGATCATTTCATCAATTTGGCAACTACTGAATACAATGCACAATAGCTTATAGCTTTGCGAGTGCTGGTCTTTTGTTTGACATAGTACGTAAAGGCACAGTAGTTCCTTTTGAGCAATGTGTTTTAGGAAGCATTTTTGTTGTCTACATTTAGTCAATTTTCAATTTGAACATTAACAATAAGTTAATTCAATTAAACCTTGTTGGCAGGTAACTAAAACAGATTGCTCAAAAGGTGCTACTGTGTCTTTAAGTACAGTGTATGTGCACTAATGTTATTTGTAATCCATGCAACACAAATAATTTTTAAATGTAGACCATTTATTTCATTTAATTTCAGTAGCATTATACATCCATAACTTTGATTCATTTGCATTTTAAATTTACAGTAATCATTTAATTATATTTACACTCAAAATATTTTATAAATTCATAAATTATTCTCAATAAATAATATATTTATAAATAATAATTATTAAATTCATAATAATATATAACAAATTGATTAATTTACCTGAATATTTCCACACAAATACAGTTCTCATAATTTCAGAAATTATATGCTGATAAGTTTGTCTTGTGCATTGCACAGAAATGCACATATGGACCACATTTGATTCACAAGTCCAAATGAGCTAAGGGGTACTACCCCACTCCAAATCGTGTAGTTTTTAATGCGATTTATAGCCCTTTCAACATGAATTCGCACACTAGCAATTTGCTGTGTGCGGATCACATCTTCAGCACCCATTTGGGAATTCTGACCAAGGAATGGTGGTATATTCAGAGTTGTCCCCAATGGTAGAAGATCTTGTATGGTGAATCCTTTATCAGCCATGACTGTATCACCATCAACAAAAGCTTGGTCAAGGAAACCACTTCGAATCACAATCTCCCGGTCAGATATAGACCCTGTGTATAGCTGGCTTATAAAAGTAATGGCTCCACTTGGTGCTATCCCTATCAATCCCTTAAGCGTTGTGTGGTTCTTATAAGAACTGAACAGTTCACCATTCAATAATAAACTGCCCGGCATCTCACATCTTATTTCGGTACAGTCTATTATGACACGAGTGTTTGGATATTTTTCTTTAAATACATCAGGCATAGTGTCTTGCACAAGTTGCTTCGATGGCCAGAGGTTAATTTGACCAAACTTTAAGTACATAAAGTTGATCCAGGCTGTCAAACTTCTGCTTACACTGGATGATGCGACACCAAACAAGTGTGATAAATGCTGTATTGAAAAACCTCTGCGTAACCTACACAACACCATAAAATATTCTTCAATTGGTTTAAGCTTCTTTGGCCTTCCCTTCTTTCTCTCACCATTTTCCTTCTCTGGTTCACTATCGTCGATGGCAACATAAAAATCATTTGGTTTTTCCCTCACATACCTTATATTTTCCCCATGTGTCCCAGGGTTAAGGTAATTAAAAAGTGCTATAAATATATCATAGTTGGGAAATCCTGTGTAGAAAGCAATATCTTGGTCGGACGTTAGACTGTTCAAATTCAACAATGGTTCAATAATTTCGCTCTGTTTCTTCAGAATTTCGATCTGTTTTTTCATGTGTCCACTGTTCTGAACGCTTTCTTCCTGAATTAAACAAATACTCTTTTTAAGATTACAGTTTTCTTGTTGAAGGTTAGAGATTGTTTCTTTTGCATCGCGAAGGCTATCTTCAGTGTGTTTAATAGTTCGTTCCAATACTTCCTGTACGCGTTTTAAGTCTGTCAACTCTTCCTTCAATAATTCCTCGTTGTCATTGACTTTACTGGCTGTGAAATCTGCATGTGAAGAAGTACTTGGCACATTGTTGCATGTTGTGTTCTTGACGAGTGGCTGTCGGACTGCTGGTGCTTTTCGTCTCTTCGGCGATTCTAGCTTCCACTCAAACTTTGAAGGAATATTGCCTTCCTTTACAAATATTCTTCCATTTAAAGATTTCTTTAAGTCGTCAGGCTTAAAATGAAGAGAACAAACCTTTGTCTTGTCATGGACTTTAAAATAGTTCCCTTCGTCGCGCCTTATTGCATGAATCCATTGTTTACGTGCAGTTTTATCTTTTGGAAAGTTGAAATATGAAACCTTTTCACCATTTGAGAGTCGGTATCCTTGCTGAGAACAAAGAGGTACACAACAGTGCGATGGCATGCAACTTTAAACAACAATTTTTCCATGAAAACCTTTTATATAACTTTGTATAATTTTTAGTATTATTTTGTAAATTTCCTGACTAAAAACAACAACCTGACTAGCCTCGTTTTCGTGTAACTCGCCACAGTCCTCCAGACTTGACAACTCTTTTTCGAATCGGTGTATAGGTAATCGGAATTATGTATAGAATCCAAGTGTATAATATAGAATCCAAATGGAATGTATATATAGAATCCAAATCGTATGGAATGTATATATAGAATCCAAATCTTCAAAGTCCACCTTATCACAACCCGCACACCCGATTACCTATATATACATGAACTTACGATTACAGCTCAACAGCTGGCCTCTGTAGCTCAGTTGGTTAGAGCGCTGCACCGGAATCGTAGGTTCATTTCCTACCAGAGGACCTTGTGCTGCATTTTTCGCAGTCGTTCCTGGTTAGGTCTTAAAATGTATATATCCTCACTTGGATTACAAACCCTAACATTCTAATCTTAATTTCTTGTGGCTGTGTAGCTTGTGTGGTAACAAAAACGACTTTCGAGTTGCAAACTGGGGTTTTATAGTAATTGCTGGCCTCATCCAGAATTGGTTGCCCAAAGCAGGGAGTTGCTATTTCCATGAAACAAATTGCTATGTCAATGGCAGAAAGAGTCACTTCGATATTTTCAACACCCATGATATGTTTCATAGATATTTCTCGTGTGTTCGTGCGGAACATAATTTCTGGTTGTGGAAGCAAATAGACACAGACTTGTAATACCACAAGCTGGCCATCAATGCATCCATATTCAATTTGGTTTCCACTCTTCATCAAAACGATACACTGCTTCTCAAAGCTTTTGGGCTCAATAAACCAACTTTGATGTTTGAAATGAAGGAACTGATTAAGAGATTCTAATGCCTGTTCATTAATCACTAGCAATCGTTCGTCACAAAAAGACCGTTGTGCAAGATTCTTATAACTAGCTCCATGTTTTCCCCAGCAATACTCTTGCTTCACTTTTTCATTCTAAATCCGTTTTATATACAACCCCAAAGTAACTGAGCTAACGGTATATCCAGCTTCAACTGCTAGCGCTGCGTCCAGAATTGATGATTTAGTAACAAAATTAGCCTTCTCGACGTATTCATAGTGAGCGAGCAACCTTGGAAAAAAACAACAAACTTTAAAAACACCCTGGCTGGAATTTTTGTGGTTAATCTAAATTTAACACTGCTCAGGCTATCTTAATGTTCCTGGTCAAATTTTCTGCTTATTTAATTTGATCAAGGTCTTGGCTAACTTAACCAGGATTCCTGGTTAACATAACAATAATACCACGATAGTAATAACCATGATAGTGATAAAACTAATTAGGACTGTAGTAAAATTAACCAGGATTAAATTTAACCATTACTGGATCAAAAACACGTTGTTTGTATCAGTCTTGGCTACAACAAATAGGAGGTAAGATGAATTAAACATTGGTGTTTTGCAAGTATGCCTTCCCCAGCGCAAATTATGACCCCAACCCGTGAACCTCCGTGATGTTTGTTAAAACACTATATATGCACACTTCTTTTTCAACACACTATATATCAGATGCAGCTAGTGTTCCATACAACACAAGTTCCTTCTCGTGTATGTTACGTCACATGCGACTAGTGGTCACTGCACATACCAAAACAAAGGTGTTGTGTCACTTCCAATCACTGCCATCTGTGTGCATGTGTTACATTCCCAAGATCTGAAATTGTTTAATTTGAAATTAGAATATAGTATAAATATCTGATACTTTAAGGGAAAATTCGTGGCAAGGGAAAATTCGTGACCTATTTGAAAATTGGGGAATTTTAGAATGGAAATTCCTATTGTGGCTAAGATCGCTTCTCATTGGTCAATATTATTATTCTTTATGATTCCTGTCAATCCTGTTTGTAACGATCACGTCAGCTGTTAGTTGTTCGAAATTCGAATGCAGCATATGCCATGCATGTCGAGCTAAGGGGCGGACCATTAGAAATCCCGGGAGGGGGAGTGAAAATTCCCAAAAAAAAATTCGTGCAAAGAAAAGTGCCTGGAAAAAAAATTCGGGCAGCCATTATGTCAGAGAAAAAAAAATCGTGCAAGCAAACAGCAAAGTACAAATAGTCTTGAAAAAAAATTCGTGCAGAGGTTAAATGCATTAAAAAAAATTCCTGCAGAGACATGAGACTGAAAAAAAAATTCGTGCCGCAAAAATTTTATACCCCCCCTCCCGGGATTTCTAATGGTCCGCCCCTAACGTTTTTTTAGTTTTCTTTTAATATTTTTTGGACAATCATACCTCAAAATCAGTTTCTTAAGTTAAGAACACGGTGCTTACTGGTAAAGCAATACTTATAATGCCTCAAGACAGCGTTTTTGTATACTTTTTGTGCTTGATAAACTGGTTTTTCGCAAGTGTTTTCTCACTGGTTTCTCGCTGTATGTTTCGCTTGTTTTTTTTTGTTATATTTCTAGATTTTCACGACAGGACACGAGTGTGTTGCAAAAGCGATGAGTGTGTTGGCAAACTCAAAGATATATGTACAGTACAGTTGTTGGTTTCCATTTCATTATCCATTGACATTTTTATAGCCATAATTTTTAATATTGTGTATGCATGGGAAACCGTTGGCTTCGTCGCTAATTGACTTCGCGTTTTTGAGCCATAGTTATTTAATCAACGATTTGATCTGATGACCAGGACCAGAAAACCATAGCTGGATGCGTGATTTTCGTGTATGGTCTAAGGGACCGGTCATTATTTATGGAAGGGGGGAGGGAAAAATAAGGGGGGGCATATGTAGAAATAAATGACAAGAAGGGGGCGGCTATTAAATTTTTTCAAGAAAATGACGGGGGCGTTGCAATTA